GGGTTTAATATTTTTCCTAGAACTTTTTTTTTTTTTTTTTTTTTTTTTTTTTTTTTTTTTTTTTTTTTTTTTTAAAAAAAAAAAAAAAAAAAAAAAAACCAACCACGACAGCATTAGATTTTCAAATGCCACTTTCCAGCAAGCAGGACTTCTACCCTTTCACAGATACAAGCTCTGCCCATTTTAGGTGGGACAAGCTCTGTCAAACACAGTGACAAGACACCCACTGGTCTGTACGAACATTCACAGAGAGCCTTGTCCTGGTACATACAAGCACTGGAGCATCATCCACACAGCAAAGTATAAACTGTTTTAACAGCCCCGTGGAAAACCTTCTCCTCTCACCATGCTGCCAGCACCAAGCAGGAGATGGGAACATCATCAGAAGCTATGTGTGCCAGCGACCTAAACTCTGGGGCTTGTGCCTCAGCTCTGCAGATTTATGTACCCTTAATAACTTCAGCTGAATCACTTCTGTGCCACAGCTGAAGGCAAAGCCATTCCCTTCTCAGAGCAAAGCACTGATGGGCAGCAAAGGCAGCAGGAATCCCACCTGCCTAGCAGGGACTCCTACTGCAGGAGGCAACACCAAAAGGACCCTCCAGGCCATGGTCCATGAATAATCAAAGAAAGGAGGGGAACAAGCAGGGAATGTTGAAAATTACAGATCGATTTTGATAGAGATATGACAGATCAAGTTAATTAAGTACACAGTAATGCCGTCGGGAGAGCAGATTGGGCGACTTCTCTTGCAGAGTTAATACTGCGGATCTAGACTTGTCAGCAGTGGCTGCAAGACACCAGCAGCTGCCAACTCTTCGTCCCAATTAGCTAATTGCTGGCTCTGCTCGGTTGATCACGAATTGCCTCTGTGCAAGACAACAAGCCCTGGGTCTGCTGCAGTCCTGCTGTACCAGGAGCCATCCTCTTTCTAAATAACAAACCCAAGAAAGCCCACTCAGAAGGCAGGAGTTTGGGGTATCAGACCTGGGGACAGGATGGCACGATTCACTGCCTGCTCGCAGCACCATGTGAAGCCTCCTGCAGCGTCGCAGGCTCAGCTTCGGCTCTCGACCCCCGATCCCTCAATACAAGCTTTCCTCCCAGCCTGTGAACAAGTATTAAATCAGCATTAAAAAGCTCAGCAGCGTCTCCAAGTACATTGTTCTTCCATAATTCAGCAGAGAACAACAGAAAAGTCACTTCTGCTGTATCCCCATAACCAGTCTCTCCATATAACACATCTCTCTGCTATTTCTCCAGATCAGTGAAGGATACAGAACTGCTGACAGCGAGGCAGTGAGCCACCGCTCCCGCTATCACTGAGAAGGGAGAGCAGATTCAATCCTAGATGACTATCAGCATAACACAGGAAATTTTGATATGCAGCTCTGCCATCCATCTCGGCTCCTGATGGATGGCACCTGCACATGTGATAAAGCCCAAATGTTCATGAACTTCATCTTCATTTTTGCAGAGGCTCTTACTCACTCCGGCAGCAGGTGCAAGCTGAAGCAATGGATGTCCTGCCACCCAAAAGGCACTGACTGATGGTACTGGACACTCAATGCAAGGAGCAACTCCAAAAGGGCTTTAAGCAGGTGAGAGACATGAACCCAAGCAATAACACACAGCTTGCCTAGAACAAGATGTACCAGAGTCATTTACAGGGAGATGGGGTAATGCCGTGACCAGTAAGCTGGATCTTGTCAAAGTGACCTACCAGCCTCCCTGCTTACTGCATTCAACTGCTTAAAGCATTCAACTAAAAACAGAACAGCAGCTGCTGGTAAGCACACCATGATTGTATTTCTCATCACAGGGCTATTTTATCCCCCATAGGGCCAAAAGCCTCAACAGGGAGTCCCCTGTAACTCTTAGAAGCCCTGCCCTATGTCCTGGCTCTGCTCAGTCTTCCCTGCCCATGTGCAAGGCTCTGCAAATTACTTACCACAAGCAGTGTGTAAATGCATGTAACATCAGACCTGCTCTCCATCTCTCTTCCAAATTCCCTGCTGTTATCTCAGTTAGCTGTATAGCTCATATTTAGATTCCAGTGTGTCTCACAGCCATGAATACCACGACCCTGCAACAAACACTCAGCAGCAACTGGCAAGTCACAGGCAGGCTGCTGGAGTTCAGCTGCACGCTCATCTTGCTGTCACACACCTAACACTTGTTTCTCATTAGTCAGTGGTCAGCCTCAAAAACTTTATTCTATAAACACCCGTGCATCTTCCAAGTCCTTCTGCTCTTCCTTACAGGGTACAGATGCTGTCCCTATATGCTGGAAAACGAAGCAGGGTTCCCAAGAGCATCACTGCGAGGAGGAGCACCCTTCTCTGAACACACACAGCTCTCGCCAGAGCTCCCTTCCCCCTCCTACTGCAGCGGTTCCCCATTAATATGAATGATGCTTTCCAACGAGCACAGCTTTGTTAAGCATCTGGGCTGCTCTGGAGCAGGGCTGTAAATAGTTATATCAAAATGACCATTAAAAACACAGCACTGCGTAATGGACTGCTGCAGGAGCAGTGAAATGAAGGGCGCTGCATTTGCATTTCAAACTACACATTTCCTATCCCAAGGCAGCAGCTATCGCTCCCCAAGATGCAGATGCTCTAGAAGAGGACAGAGTATTTTGAATTTGCTTGCAGATGGGAATGTGCTAGTCGCACTTGACTGCAGCTACTCTGAAACAGATTTCGGACAAGCCCCACTCCTGGCACAGTCAAAGTACTGCAGGATGGGAGAGCTGGCACACAAGTCACGTCCGCTTCCAAGAACCAGCTCCTCTCCCTCCCCAACTCCCTTATTAAAGCATTTGGCTGTTGGTAAAGAAGCTGCAAGCTCTGCAGTGCCCCTTCTGCAGATATCCTCTATCAGCTGAGGATGCTATGACCCCTCTCACAGCTAAAATGACCTGTAAATGGTCTTGATTTGCTTTTGCACAGCACCCATCCTCTCAGGTTCCCACTTTTCAGGAGGGAAGCACTAAGCCGCACAAATATGAAGCTCCAGGTCACTTGGACCCACACTGGCAAAAGTCCAAACTCCAGTGATTTGGGTTCCTTAAAACACAGGGTGGGACCATGGTGGGATTTAAGCATCGTGGCTGGAAGCACCACAGTGCCCAAGAGCAACACACTGGCACCAGCAGAGCCATGTTAAGCAACATGCTCCCTGTTGACTGGGTGAGGAAGAGTCAGATGGGCTTCTGAGCCACCAGCTGCTGTCTCTGCCCCACTTCGGTGCCAGGGCACAGCAGCAGAGGTGAATTCTCTGGATTAGCATCACCGTGTTTCCAGCCCTAGAGGAAAGAGATTGAAAATGCCCATGGAAAGGGCATATCCCCCACCAGAGCAAGGCTCATAGTCACAAGATGAACCGGGGACTTCTGTCTGGGCTCACCTCCCACAGCACCAGGGCAAGAGATGCACCCCTTCTTGCAGGGTAAGGCCAGCAGACCCACACCACCACCACTCCTCTTTCCAGCATGCCATCTCCTCTCTGTTACAGCACCTCTGAGACTGGGGAGATGTGGCATCCACAGACATCTCCCACGCCTCCTTCTGCCCTGCCCCATTCCCTAAGAGCAGAAACACAAGGCAAACATGACTAGGAAACAAACTCAGTCCAGAAAAGTGGCAGAACAGGGAAACCGTGGTTTTGCTCCACAAATAGCAGATAGAAATCTCAGAAAAAGGCATAGCCTGAGCTGGGGGATAATCTGCAACTGCAGAAGCCTTCCTCCTTGTCCTTCCCTGGGACAGAGGAAGGGGACAGGTTTCCCCACCCAGCACAACACAGGGAGTTGTAACCAGCAGCTGCTTCCATCAATACACTTGACCACTAACAGCATGTGACATCTCCTGCACCCAGGCCTGGTACCGAGAGAGCAGCCACAAGATGGACAAGCAAGAACAACCACCACAGCCACACTAAGACACTCCTCTGAAGGAGAGAGGGGTCACAGCTCTCAGTCACTGCTGGTACAAACCCGTACAAACGCTTTAAAGACAAAGGAAAATCCTGATGAGTGGGAAACACCAGCGCACTTAGGCTCTTTATAAAATTAAATCATGCCTTCAATAATGGAAAATACAATAGGAGATACGTAATCTTCAGAAGCTTAAATCCATAAAATACCATCAGCAAAGCTGCTGTGACTGATAAACTCCCGAAGGGCACGTACAGCAGGGATGTGAGAGCAAAGCCATTTGGTCACAGCCCTTTCTCTGAACAGCCTGACAGGCCTTCTGTGTGCTACCACTACAAAATAGGGGTCCTGGCTCTCAACAGGACTATCCCATGCAGGTGAGGGCTGAACTGGGGCTACACCCAGCAGAAGTATATGAGATGGATGCAAAGGTTCAGACATTCTAAGTTAGCACAATCCCTGGTTTCAGGGACTTTTTCCCCCTGTCAGAAAAAAACAGGTCTACTGTTTTAAAAGACTGAAGACTCCCATTACCAGTTAAGAAAGACTTGCCTTACCTTGACACCACAATTATAGGGGAGAACATGCCTACCTCAGAATCTGATATGGAAACCCGATTAGACTCTATTGTTGGTCTCCTCATTATACGTGGTGATGGCCCTGTGGCATAAGGGCCATAACCTGAAGTGTTGCTAGAAGCCAAATAGCCTCCTGATGATCTTTCCTGTAGAGACAACTTCCTACTTGACAGGCCAGGTCTAGTGAGAGGTCTCTTGGGAACATGCCTGCAGTGAGCATCTTCTGGCCTTTGGGAAGGCAGAAATTCATTCACTCCCATGTCACTGTTGACTCCATTTCTTTGTATGTCTTTTATGTTATCAGAAAAGACTGTGTCATTTTCTTCTGTGTTGTCTTCACCATTTTGGTCACTTCTGTCTGGGCCAACAGCCACGTCTATGGCTGCTACCCGCTCTGCCAGTTCAGTCTGTGTGTCTTTGCAGCACATGTCTGTGCCTCCATCTGTGGCATTTGTTGGAGAGTCCCCCATTGCTGCGTCCAGCTGGTATGGTTTCAGGTGGCACTGCAGAGAGCTGCGATGCTAGCACTCACAGACAGCATGTGGCATGAAGGAATGTCTCCATGAAATACCTAAAAGGAAATAAAAGCAGAGGTAAACTGAATAATAACATTAACTCAACACAAACACAGCCAAGACAGCTATCTCTGGCTTCTTCCAACATAAAAGAAAGTGAAGGCAAAACACTGACACGCTGTAAACAAGTTGCAAACAGAAGGAAAGGCAAACCCAAGCACAAGCTAGACCTGAAAGCAATAAAGATTATCTGATGTGCAACAAGTGACACAACTAAAGGGAACTTCTCCTTCCGTAGATGGGCTGACAGTCAACCAGCGCTTACAATAAAAGGAGAAGTACAGCTTCTTAACAAACCAAGGGTAAAGGGTCAAACTTTCAACCTTTTGAATTCTTATTTATAGGGTACAACAGCTTCTGGTATGTAAACAAACCCAATGTGCCTAACAACAAATTCACAGCCATTTATGGCCCCACAGCAGTCTCCCTGCTGCCCTGTAAGGCCCCAGAGAGTGTCACAGAATGGCCTGGAAGCCACTACTGGTGACTTCTACACTCCCAATTACTTGCAACATAGTCAACAGAAAAGGCAGAGTTTAAAAGCGAGTCTGGTTCCAGGCAGCCTGTGTGCCAACACACCTTAACTTTGCTGCCCACCATGGATACAAACTATATTGAGTTGCAAATCAACAATGCTTAATGATTACTAGCATGTGGGAATCCGCTTTTCCTTTGGAAAAAGACTTACAGAACACAAAAGTGCAATACAAAGCTAAAACTGCTGAATAAAAAAAAATAAAAATCACTGTTTCCTGGATGCTAGTTTCAGTCTCAATTTAAAACAGATTTCAGTCTTCCCAGTGTGGTCCAGAGCAGGAAATTATCCTCTGCAGCACATGGCTGTCATCCTTTAATCACCTCTGAAGATGCAGTGCTGCAGGATGCATCATCTCATCCCTCTGCCCGGTTTCTGGGGACAGTGGGGGAGAACTTCATTTTAATCCCAGCATCCTGGACTGCATCCAATGAATTTCAGTGTAGATTTAACTCCAAACTATTGCAATCTTTGGTTCCCTGCATGCAAAGCAGGTTGTGTAAAGATCCCTGCAAGCCAGGTGACACTTGCATCACCCTGTTTTCACACTGGATCAGTTTAATTTCCATGAGGAAGGGTGGGAGTGAGCCCCATCCAGCATCAGCCTGGGAACACACACAACACCCTCCTTGAGGAGCACAGAACAATGGTTGAGCCTGGCTCAAAGCTGCCCAATGCCACTCAGGTAAACCCACCACAGCTGAACTCTGCTGCAGAGAGAGACAACCCACCTTCTGAGTCCCCCGCAGAGGCACAGCAGCCAAGCTCACCGAATCTTTCATATCAATAAGGAAACTAGAGAAAGGTCTGGATGGGAAGCTCACCCAAGGTCACATGCCAGGCACAGGGGACATGCTGGGCACTCATTGTCACAGAAAGGAAACATCCAAATCCACAAGGTTCCTCCCCACAGCCCACTGTTCATCTCCTTCCCCACCCAGGTATAATCTTCCCCCTTTCTCCTGCCTTTTCTGCAGGCTTGTTTGAAACAAATTGACAAAAGTGTCACTCACTCAAAACCGTAATGAAATGGTGAGATCGGCTTTAAAAGCTTTTATTAAAACTATATTTAAACCCTTCAATCCCAAAGCACAAATCCCTTTCAAAGCCAGGATGCAGGAGCAGGGGGGTGGCTTGCAGAAGCAAGGGAAGGGGTGCAGGGTTTGGTAGATCACATACTGCACATGGTCCCACAAACCCACAGGCAAAGCAGCACAAGCCTTTCCCCTCTGCCAGACCTCCCAGCTCTCCCAAAACCAGGCTTAAAGCTAGAAATCCAGCTGCAGCCCTGCGCTGGCTCAGCAATGAGCCTGTCCTTTGATATGGATTCATGGGAAGGCGACAAGGGGCTTGGAAAGCTTCTGAGCTGACCTAGGAGCATGGGGTCAGGGCAACCGCAAGCCTGCAGACACACTGCTATCTCAGAAGAGGCTTTCCTCACACTCTAGAGCCTGTGGAACAGCACAAATCCCAACAGGACACTCATAAGGACTCCTCATGGGATGCCTGCACACTTGGCTTTGGGTGAAGGTCAGCGTCTCGGCCCCTGGGAAGGGCAGATCTGCCTCCAGCACTGCCTGTGGAGCAGCAGCCTCCAGGGCTCTCTGCATAGCCAGGAAAGCACCAGGACACATCTCTGCCATCATCAGCTTGCCCTCTGCCACCGGGGCTGGGCTGCAGCTCTCCAGCCTGCGTGTTCCCTTCTATCAGAGAAACCATTTTAAATGAAGGGAAGGAGGGAGTAAGAATGCTTTCACCATTTAATCCAGCTTCCACAGAGGACAGGAGAAACATTCCAATTTTAACTTGTGTTAAAAGCCTGGCTTTGCTTTTTTGCCTACAGAGAAACAAACCCAACACCTTTCCTTGCAGCAGCTTTAGCTTCTGGACAGTCACAGCTCACCTCACTCCTAGAGAGCATCAAGAGAAAAAAATTAACCTGCAACTGAAGCTTGCAGCTCCCCCCACTATCTTCCCCCCTCCTGCCATGAGGCTTTCCCCATATGCAGGAGGGAGAGGAGGGAAAGCATCTGCCATGAATGCCCATAGATCACCCACCTGGATTGAATACTTGGGTGTCTCTCACACATCCTCACTGCTCAGCCAACAAGCCAGAAGCACTAGGAACAGCAGACATGTCCCAGCAAACAGCAGTGCTCCTGTCAGCTGCCTGTACAGCTCTTCCCTGCCCAGAGCAGGCACCCAGGGGGGTCACCCCCTCAAAAGCAGCAGCACAATCACACAGCTCTAACCCACAGCTCAAGCCTCAAAATAAATCTTCAGGTAATTGACAACTTAAATAGATAAGCCCCATCAATCAGTTCATCCCATCAAAACAAATAGACCCATACAGCATCACAACAAATACTGTGCTGCTGAAAGTATGCTAAAAGAAAAATATCCAGCAAGACTTAAAATAATTGTCCATCTGTAGAGCTGGGCTTTGTTTCAGATTCTGCTGCTTTGAAGGATTCCTTCTTACTGATAAATCTTCCAAAAGTATATTGGAAAGCAATGCTTTCTGAATAAGCAAATCAGTTACGCACAGACCAGTCTTACTGTGCATAAAACTCAGCACAAAAGGCAATTTTTTATTTCTGCAAGGCAAAAATCAATGGTGGATTTGCCATTTGTCAGGCGACAGCACAACCGCATCTTCTTGTGACGGGAAATCCCAGCGAAACAGAGACACCACCACTACCTTCTACAAGCTCCTGCACAGCTTTGGGTCCAATACTCTTCACTCGGTCACCACCCTGATCACCCCAACACAAAACACCTGCTGTAGATCAGAGGATTATGCTGCAGACAAGACCTAAAGCTGCAAACAAGCTTATATGAGCAAAATTAATTTACACATATCTTATTTACCATTTTCCCCCTGTAGCTATTCCTCTGCCGCAGGCAGACTGCCACTTCGATGGTATTTTCCACAATATATTTATCAAATGGCTGCACATGTTTCCCAGACAGGCGCTGAGCAGAGCAGGGTACAAAATACCCTTTTGAAAAGAGTATTATTCTGGAGAAAATCTCTCTGTATCATACGTGGGAGTGGGAGATGAGCGAATGCAATAAATTTTGCTGCTCAATAAAAGTATTTCAAAGCATTGTTTGAAAAATAAAGAACTGCAAATCTAGTTTACTGCTCGATCCTTGCATTTGGGTAACTAGAAACGTTCCTATGAGGAAGGACAGGGAGGCTAAAAGGCCCCAAGTCTCAGCAAATCCAGCTTCATTTCCCAATTTTGTTACAGGCTACCCAGAAAAGTGACTTTACTGCTTCATCTGTCACAGTTCCCATGTTAAGAGGAATGACACAGCCCTCAGGTCACCTCATCCCGCTTCCCCTTTCTGTCTCTGAGAACACATCCGCCCTGCGCTGAGGCACCAAGGGCCTTTGCAGTAAAATAAGTCACAGTGAATAATAACGATGAATATTTGCATGGGAAGTGTTCCAGCAGCATTTGGATACTTCTTCAAATGCCCATGGATGGCATTTGTACCCTATTCTGTGCCAGCATAGGGACTGGCAGGGATGTCACCATGAAACCCTGTTTGAAGGCCACAGCCATTAGGTGCCTCTTGACCAGACAATACCCACAGGCACTCTCAACAAAGAGAGGTCCCAAAGATCACAGAATGTTTTAGTCTGCCACTTTAATATGCACTAGCAAGGTCAGGAATCAGGCCACGTTTTCTAAGTGTTGCAGGCAGCTGTGTATCAGGCCAGGCTGCCTGCAGAGGGGATGTCATCTCCATCACCAGCATCCTTCAGCTCAGGTCAGAACCCCCAGCAGGAGCTCAGTCCTGCCCTGGGGCAGAGCTGGGCTGCACATCCAGCCCTATCTTGTGTTTCCTTCAGATGTTCCCCCAGAGCAGCACAGCCAGGGTGAAGAATCTGCTCCGACTGCTGTCAACCGGCACCAGAAACTCCCTTTAAGGAGAGAAACAGCAAGTCCTCAGCTGGGCTGCCAAGTCCTGAAGAGCTCCTCAAATGACATTTTTAAAATATTAGGTCAGCAAGTCCCTTCCAGAGCCCAAGCTGTCTCCCTACACCAGGCAATACAGCCTAGGACTATTTCAATGCTGGATTCTCTCCTGTGCTCCCTGTTCTGCAGCTGGGTCTGCAGACTTCCCCAAGTACTCACTGTTAGTCCACTACCCTGACATGAGGGAGATATTTTCACAACCCCCCACAACCCCATCAACTTTTTATACATGGGGGAGGCACTTGCCCGAAGTCCAGCCAGCTTGCTCTAAGACCTTCAGTCTAGAGAAGCTTAGGAGGGACTTATGTCCCACAGCCGTGCACCACAGCAACATCTGAGCTGCCACGAGCCCTGCAAAGCACAACACAGTTTAAAACACACGACTCTTCAGATCTAAGGAGCCAATTGCTTATGGGTCTCATTACAGCAGTGGGAGAGCAGCCAGGGGGTTCATTTTTTTCTGCAGCAA